GACCACATTGTTATTTGAATTGGCGGGAATATCATTTCTACCTAGTCATTGTTCTTACTACCGTGTGATCCCGGCATCAAATGAACCACCCCTAACTTGCCCGTGGGTGTCGTAGGAGGTGAATAAGGAAACTGAATTGTCAAAGAAGGGCAGCAGCGTCCCTCTTAAAACATCACCAAAACCTAACTGCGGTTGTCAACCTGACCGTTCCCTTAGAAAAAATATATTACATACTTTACGTATGTAAGTTTTTTTTTTCTTTTTCTAGTCTGCTAATTGGCAATATTGCGGGTCTACCATGAAATGAAATTCCGAAATTTCGGACTCAATTTCGTGTTTTTATTTATACCAAAGTCGGACCAATAAATGTAGTTTAACATTTCGTTCGTCATACATCCTATCATAAAAGTCCAAAGGAACAATATTTTAACATTTCTAATATTTCCAAACGGCATGTATTATGTAATTTTAACATCAAATTTCTGTTTCGTTTGGCTCCGAAATTTCGGAAAACATTTCATGGTAGACCCTCTGTTCCTTATAAAATAATAATCCAATCTGCTGTTTGGATGTCAGGTTTAAATCTTATTAGTATACGATGAGGCCAGTCGATTAACTAGCTATCAGTTTCTGTCAGTAAATCTTTCCACCAGTCCTTGGATACTGTCTTTTTAATCGAGAGAATTAATGTATGTAAGTAAATTAATAAATTTCAGAATTTTATATGGCGACGCTTATGTCAAAAGCATATAAAATTATTCGGTCAATGATCAGCGCGGCCTCTTTGTGGGTATGTCTCCAAAAACAATAGACATAATGTAATAAATAAATGGAACGAGGACGCCTCATACATACAATCTCACGGTACAATCGTTATGAAAATGATCGACTCTCTGAAATATTTACAACAAATTTTTGCCAGTAGCTTTGTTCGCTTAAAATGCAAACTGACGTCCCACCTGATGGAAAGTGGTAACCGTCGCCTATAGACATGAGCAGTACCATGGACATAACAGAGTATACTGTTTCAATAATTATGATGCTGATGAAAAATAAAGAGTATCAACGAGTTCTCCATAATATATGAACATACATTGTAATAAAACAGTTTTCTGTCACAAAATTACCATTGCCATTCTTGAGTATTTTTTTATGCCACTGAGGTGGCAAACAAGCATACGGCCCACCTGATGGTAAGCGGTTACCGTAGCCTATGAACGCCTGCAATACCAGTGGTATTACGCGCGCGTTGCCGACCCTGAAGAAACCTCTTTAGCCCCCTTTTGAAGAACCCCATGCTGCTGTCTCTTGGGAAAATCTCGGCAGGGAGCTCATTCCATAACCTGAGTGTTCGTGGGAGAAAACATCTCTGATACCGCGTTGTACGCGACCATTTAGGCTGTAAGGTATGAGGGTGAACTCCCTGTCGATGGCGAGCCGTACGATGGTATTATTCCTCTCTACCCTATAATCTTTTAAAAGTTTAGGATTTGTTTTTATTGTTAGCTGCTGTAATATATATGAATTATTGACATTAAATAAATAATTTTTCCTCTAATCTAATCTAATATATAATATAATGTTATCAAATTATCCTGCTTTAATAGAACTCAATAAAAACGTAAGCAACTCTGTAATTGGCGACCATAGACAATCTGCTGATATCCATTAGTAAGTACCAATAAAAAACAATCAATCGATTGAATGTTTCAATTTGTTACAATTTTTTTTAAGTGCTTCTGTAATACATTCAATAAAACATAGTCACGTTTTCATTGCCTATTTTTTTTATAACACAGGGGACAAACGAACATGTGGTTTACCTGATGGTAAGTGACTACCACCCATGATAGCCTGCAACACCAGAGGCACAACGCCTGCCGGCCTTTTAATAAAAAAAAAAAAAACTGGCACATTTACGAAAACCATTTTCTATTGTCTATGTTTGTCTATGTCTTTTTTATAACACACACAAAATCAGGAGTCTTTGAAAAGCAAAAAGAATTTTTAAAATCTGTCCACAATTGACGGAAAAATCGGTGGACATACAAAAAAAAAAAATATACAGTGGAACGTAGAACCTTCTCCTTTTTTGAAGTCGGTTCGAAAGGTATCATCATCATATCAGCCTTTAACTGTCCACTGCTGAACATAAACCTCCCCTTGGAGGCTTTTGCCAGTGGTTGACATGCTTGGCAGGCGGATTAGCAACCGCAGTTAGGCTTTAGAGATGTTTTAAGAGGGACGCTGCTGCCCACGCCTCGCCCTCGTTTAGTCGATACTTACGACACCCCCAGGAAAGGAAAGGGTGGTCTATTCTATGCCGGGACCATACAACTAGTTTTAAAAGTAATATAGTGTTAAATAGAGTATCTTCCCCAATTTTTCAAAATTTCATAATTCTTTTAACATTACGTTTACTTCGTAAGCATGAATTTTAATAAATAGGAAAAGTAATGAACTACTTTTAGGTGACGTATCGCAAGAAAACATATACGAGATTTAAAACACATCCGTGATGCCGGTACAAATTCACAAACAAAATTTTTAAAGGCCTTTATTTAAGACCCCTCATAATATACTACTTATATATTACCGTACATTTGCCCTGTGGTCCCGGCATAGAATGGGCCACCCCATTCTTTCCCATGGTTGTCGTAAGAGACAATGAAAGAACTCAATGGACAAGGAATTGGCAGCAGCGTCCCTCTGAAAACATCACTAAAGCCTTATTGCGATTGCCAAGTGTGACAACTACTAGCAAAATGCCCCTTATGGTGAAGACTTGAATTCAGCAGTGGACAGCTAACAGCTGATATAGTATTATATGATATATATGTGTATATATATATATATATATATATATATATATATATATATATATATATATATATATATATATATATATATATATTCAAGTACGTCTTATATAATCTTATATAAAATACAAAGTATTTTGTTTTTAATACACCAATCTGTTTAAATTCAATTTTTTTTTATCTCAGTTAATCTTGTTTCTATAGCATTATTTCCGTAATGGTGTACGAGTACATACATACATTGTGTAATATTACGTTCTAAGATCCTCTAAAAAATGTACACAAATTACGCAATTGAACGTGTTTACAAATTTACACAATCGCGTAAGTAATTAGGAACTTCATTAAAGTCCATTAGATAGGAAAGAAAAAGCGTTATATCTATGGCACAGATAATATAATATTATGCTAGTATCTCTATGGTCTATATCTATGGTCTCTTTACTCTGGGGGGTCTACTTTGAAATGACATTCCGAATTTTTAAAATAAATTTCGTGTTTGTTCATATAGATTATGGTTTATATAGAAATTAGCCTAGTAAATGGAGCTTAACATTTCGTTCGTAATAAATCCTACTATAAAAATCCAAAGGAACGATATTTTATGATTTTTTATGCTTTTAAATGGTATGTATCATGTACTTTTAACATCAACTTTGCGATCCCAAAATTTCAGAAGAAAATTTATGGTAGGCTCTCCCATTTCCCTTCAAAACGCACAGATAAATAAATCTTTCGCCTTTTTATCTATGGTTTCCATTTTCAAAACTTTGTTTTGTAAAGTTTATTTTAGAAGTATAATAGATATGTATTTATAATAGATATAATATTTTCCTTACTGTGGTGACGAACAAGTAAACAAGTGCTAGTTACATTAATAAATACAGATATCCAAAAAGCGAGGTGGAAGGGGATTGTAAAGTTCTTTTTATGGGTAAAAAAAGAATGGTATTTCCGTTTACGCTATCAGTATACGCTTGCGGGACGCCAGTGATGGGATGACAGGTGAAGATAAAAGCAGGTCAGTTCGCCCATCGTAACAAATTCATTTACTTATTTAACTCTTTATTGTACCAAAAACAAAAAAAAAAAATACATTGACAATTAAACAATCCAAGTTAAACACAATAGCATAAAATACATATTAAAATATAAACATAAAGGTTTTGTACCTTATTACGGTTAAAAGAGAACAAATAAATAAATAGAACAAAATCTAGAATGAACTATGCTAGATTCCGGGTGGGGCTGCATGGTGATCACTTTACAGGCTATATTGCTAGCAAGGGGGCCGTCAGTCCCCATTACTAATGATCACTTTTCTCAATATACCCTGTCAAGTCTCCTCTACGGTCCCATCGTGGTTAACTCCTAGTAAATTCGTCACAGTGAACCGACTGATCTGGCTTTATTCGCCTGTCATCCGTTACTGGTACCCTGCCAACGTATACCGATAATACAGAAGGTACCCTTTCATAATCATATAATAAAAAAAACAACAATACCATCATCGAGGTTGATAGACAAAGAAAATATGATGTAAGTTTTATCTATTTACTTATGTATACATATATCCTTACAGTACAAAGTAATAACATTAAAAATTTATACACAATTCACTTTGCATCGCTTTTGTCATCGCTCATGTTGCTATCGGTTATTAATTTTACAATTACCCTAATTCTTCTGAGTTATTACCATAAACAAAATTAATTTTCCGTAAAGCTCAATAGGAAAATATTTTTCTTCTTGGTTTAGCAGCTTATAAGTAAATACAATTAATGGTTTTAAAACAAAGAAAACAGCTACCCATAGATTAAGAATGCAGCTTTTTTTTTACTATTTTAAGGTTTATTTGTAGGGTAGTTTTTTTTATTTAACGAGTAGGTACCTACTAGCTATTTAATAAGGGTAAATACCTACTATTATAATTCTTCATGTAATTAGAATTCCCCCTATTCTTTCTATGTAATGTTTATATTATCCTACTTTGGTAAAATAAATCAATGATAAATATGTCAAATCGATGATCTAATTGCTTTACTTTTTAATTAAAGACCGTATAAAATTATATGTCGTTTAGTAAGACAGATTGCGAGAATTGTTTTTAATAAAAAGAAAAAAATATAGTGATGTGAACACGCACATATCGATTATGTATTTACATTAGTTGCATCTCACCTCATCTTTAATCAGCAACACAACACTTAACTCGAGTTATCACGAAACCACGTCGATACGAGAACGCTGTCACGGCTTTATTTATGTTTTATCAGAAAAAAAACATCGTATTTACGTGCATTTGAGTGCTGAAGAGGTACACGTCTACCTCCCATAAATGCCGGTGCCGCACTACCTACTCTACTAAGTTCAATCAAAATGGCGTGGTTACGAGTTTGCGCAATACGGATTGTATCATAACATTTCAATTAGAAGGTCCTGTTTATCAAAAGGTATATAAAACCATAAATTTTACAATGAAATATATGAAATACATGCTACTTTTTTTTAATCGAAAATCTAGTATTTATATATTTGAATGACAAACGTGATTAATGCGAAAAATTAAACAGAAATCAGTAAAGCTATGGCGCATTTGAGTTTAAGTGTCAGGGTCACTCGCTTATCAGCGTTCCAAAATTGTATTATACCTAATATATTTGAATAACAAACACGTATGCTAACGACTATAATCCGAGGCAGGATAAATCAGAGACGCTTATCGACCATTGTAGTGAACAACATAGCATACAACATTCTAAAACTTAGGAACAAAAAAATATATATACTTATATATATATATATATATATATATATATATATATATATATATATATATATATATATATATATATATATATATATATATATATATATATATTATCATACAGGGGGCAAAGGAGCATGCGGTAAGTGATTACCGCTGCCTATAACCACCCGCAAACACCAGAGCAATTATGTACAGGTGTGCTGCCGGCCTTTTAAAAAAGAAATGTTCCTTTTTCTTAAAGGTTACAATGTTGTATAGGTTCGGAAACACCGCAGCTGGAAGTTAATTCCAAAGCGTGATTGTGCTTGGAAGAAACTGCCTTAAAAACACAGTGTAGGATTGTTGGCAATGGATCTTTAGTTTGTGATTAGTGTTAGCTCGTGTTAAATGTTCGTATAGCAGTCTTCTGGCCAGTGCTTTTACTTCTTTTTTCTCCTGCTCGCGTCATTGCCACTCAAGATTAAGGATCCCGAATGGTCTCGAAATTGGTCACGCTTTCCTGACCAAATTACAGGTAAGTTAAACCGATAATTATTATATTAATAGACATAATGCATATTAAATAAAAGGCTGACATACTTAAAATTGTAGACAACATCGCTGTTTGAGATCTCAGAGAGGCAAAAACTTGGTTTACAAATGAATGTTTCTCAAACAAAATTCACGACAAATAGTCACAAGAAAACAATAAAATAGAAGGAAAGGAGGTAGAATATGTAGAAGATTATTTGTACCTTGAAGATATTGTTTCTTTTGATGTTAACAATAATGAACATAAAACTGATAGAAGAATAAATATAACATGGAAAAAGTTAGCTCCAAAAAGAAATATTAAAGTAAACTAGATAGATAGATAGACAGATAGATAATTTATTTGCATCACTTACAGCACACAAACAGCAAAAGATACAAAAGCAAAGTGAAAAAAGATAAAAAAAGATACATGTACAAAAGATTAAAAAGAAAAAAAAACCAAAAACAAAATCAGAATGCATAATAATTTTTTTTTCTTCATGCGTGTGCCACAGTAATACAAAATGGCCACAACTCAGCTTTTTGCTTTGCCCTAAAAAGAGCAAAACACTGATATTATGTTGTGGCCAAAAGTGAGCCGCGAAATACCACTGAAAAAAATAACAAAAAAGAAAGAAATATAGATCAAATACATAATGTGCGTTCGTTATATTCGCTACAATTAACTACAATATTAACTACAATTTAAAAATAAAAAGATAATAACGGATTCATCCTGTTGTATCCTGCCTAGTTTTACTTACAACCCCGTCAGGTCGACCTCCACGTAGTCTACCCTGAAAATCATCGTACTGAACCAGGTGTATTTATCACGATAGGCTAACTGATCTGCTCTTCAATTTTTACTTATCATCCCCCACTGGTGCCCCGCCGGTATATACCAATATTGCAGGCAGGGTTACCATTTCATTATCATCCAAAAAACATGCGATGGAATTAATAAAAAAATAGCCTGAAATGGAATACAATAAAGAAAACAAGAATTATAGTCATTTGTGAGAAAACCAAGATAAGAGATGCTCTCTAATATAGTCTAAAATAAAACAGACGGAGTAAAGTGGGGCATGTAGCTAGTCACAAAAACATGAGATGGTCGCATCAAATAACGAAATACTGAATTCTGAAATGTAAAAAATGTTTTAAAAGATAGAAAAAAAAAAACACGTTTTAATGGCATCATAGAAATAGCAGAAATAAATTGAATGATACACCAAGAACACATAAACTTGTTACAATTGGTTAATATTTGAAAAACACATAAACTTACGTACATGCGTGCTTGTTTGTCTGTAAATAAAAAATATTTCTGTTCTCATGGCGTACCTAAGATTATTTTCTAAGAAAGTCTGGACTCTTAATAAAGGCACATAATTTTCTCTCAGACAAGTCTTTGCGGATTTACTTTATAGGTACCAATCGATTCTAAAGTACCGGCTCCGGCATAAATATGCCTATATCTGTTTCACTAATGGATCGTTCAGACTTATATACAGATGTACTATCTAAAATAGAATCTAGAGAACTTAAGAGAATATATATAATATAGAACTCATTTTTTTTTATAAAAACATATATACATATCATTGCGCCACTTTCATAAGGAGGAACCTTATTCTTTGAAAAATAATGTTTCAATGTTCAATTTACAATTTTTGTTTCCGTTTTGCACTCCTGCGGTTTATTTCATAGCAAACATTTTCTATTGAAACTTAATAAGAAGTAGGGAAAAAGTAAAATAGAATTCGTAAAATATTTATTACAATTTTTCATTCTAACATTAGTTAAAAATATGCTTAGATATAATACACAGATTAGAAAGATTATGTATAAAAATTATAATAAATTTAATACAATTTGTTTCTGTTATTTAACTATGTCGCTTTAGTTAATCCTTTTTAATAGCAACACCATCACTCCATAATTGTCAAATAAAAATGTCACATTTGACATTGACATTTTGGCGCTATAAATTGTTTTGATATTTTAGAGGAAGTTTTGTTCGTTTTCTTACAAATTTCGTAATTTTTTAAAACCCAACAGTAAGTAGAAATATGGCAGAGAAATTAGAAGATTTAAATCTTCCCTTAACTGTTGTAACTCGCATAGTAAAGGAAGCTTTACCGGAGGGAGCCACAATATCCAAAGAAGCTCGCACGGGGTTAGCGAAAGCCGCCTCAGTTTTCGTCTTATATGTGACTTCTGCCGCAACAAATATTGTTAAAAACAAGAAAAGGAAAGCATTAACCGGGCAGGATGTGTTAGACGCCATGAAAGATATAGAATTCGACAGATTTGTAGAGCCATTGGGTGAGGCATTTGAACAATACAAATTGGTAATTTCCGCGCGAAAATCTGGTGCCGGCAAAAAGAAAGACGAAGAGGAGATAGAAACGATAGAAGACGATTAGTATGTTTGTTTAGTGTTTAATTTGTTTATAAGTCTATTGTGAGGTAAATAAAAATGAATTTTAAATTAAAACTTGTGTTCACATCTGTTGACATAACCTGTATCCAATTCTGCAGTACTTATTAAAGTTATGAAAAATCTTACCTGAAAGTAAAACTTCTACATTGACAAAACATATATTTTTTTTATAACACAGGCAAATAAGAATTCAGCTCGCCTAATCATAAGTGGATACCGCTGCCCATGAGCACTCACAACATCAGTCATTGCAAGTGCTGCTGCTGGCCTTTTAATTTAATAATTTTATAATTTAAATTAATTTATTAAATATTGACATAATGCATAGAATACTTTATATTCTGATTTATGAATGAAAAGCTGCTAGAAAAACTAATATTATAATAATGAAAATATCAAGTTTGTGATATTAAGATATTATACTTACCAACAATATGAGCTAACATTATTCAAAACATAAAATCTGAACATAATTACCTACTTTTTAAGATGGCATATCCCTTTCAGACCTGAACGAAACAGGCGTGAGTTGTAACTTTAAAAAATTCTAAAACTGCGCGCAATTCATTTTTATGCACAATGCTGAAATAACATAAACCAGCCAATAAGAACTCATTTTAGCGGTTAGGTGGTGCAGTAGCCTCGTACGTGCTGGCAAGATGGCTTGGCTCCAAAACACGAAAATATATTTAATCAGAAAGAAAAATCTTGGGTCTGAAAGGGATATAGCAAAATTTCAAACAAGAATCCTGATGTTTGTCTAGGTGAATGGATAATATCTACTGTTTGCCTGTAGTGGGAATAAAGCCGGATTAATCATTGCACGGGCTACTAGGCAGTTTCCTTTACTGCTTAATATATATATAATTATAAGAAAGTGTAGCTGAATTTGTTTCATTTGGTAAATTGTTCATGAATGGAACACCAAATCATGTCCAATGCGACCATTATTGTGTCATGTATACAAAATGGATCTGTTTTTAGGGAAATTATTTCAATACAGCAATGAGAAAACGGGATCTTAGTAACAGGTATTAACAACCCCATTGATAACACCTGAGCTTACACCCTCAAATTCTTAATTTCTGATGAAAATAATCACATGCAAAAGTTTCCACAGCCATCTAATATTCAGAAAGCAAGCACTATTTATTTGGAAAGGTAGGGATTGTTAGAAATGCGATGGGCTAACTGACCTGCCTTTTCATGCTCACCTATCATCCCTCACTGGTTCACCAGCAGCATATATTGTTCATCATCATCAACAGGGCTACCATTCCATTATCATCCATTAAAAAAAATACTGTTTCTACTTTGGAACTAGATGGTGCAGTGTCCAGTGGTAATTATTCTTCTCTATAAAATATTTGTCATGCCATATGGAGGAAATAATCAAAATACATGTTTAATTGATCATCAATTTATTCAGGAATAGAATCTGTTCTGAAACTTGGAATGTTAACATTTATTTTTTTTTCTGTCATTACTAATTCTATATAGATACTAACTACTTCATCTTATATACATCACTATGACACTCCTACACTCTCTGTTATAACGAAAATAAATATCGATATATCTATTTTATTCTAAAATCTAATTTATATTTTGTCTTTTAATTACATTTCAATTTAATATTTTATTGTTATTTTATTAAGTACTACCTCAAAATTCATAATAGAGAAATTTGGAAAGACTTACTTTTTTAAACATAAATTATACGATATTTTTTTTTTTTAATGACTACAAGTAGGCATGGGGTGAATTGAGATGAGTTTATAATTAGATTTTAGTTTAAAGAAAATCTAACTGATTAATTAATCACGAAATGTGGTCGAATATTAAATTATTCCTATACAGACAGGTTTATTATTATGAGAATGCATTTAATGCTATTTTAATTTTTTCTTTTTAAATATCTACTTTATATTTTTTAATAGACTTACGCCAGACTTTGAGTAATTTATGTTTTTAAATCTAAAATAGGTACAGTATTGTACATAATTTTTTTGCCAATCGCTCAAATGATATTTCTTTATTAAAAAAAAATATGTTATTTAATAACTACTTAATTACATATGTAGTACAATACTATATGGTTTATTAGTCATTTAAAACATATGAACATACAAATATTTTCATAAATTACTTGTGATGTCGCATAACGCAAACCGTAGGTATGCTTGATTGCCATCCTTTTGTGTAAAAAAAATATATTTGAATTTCAAATGTGTATTCCAAATGTTTGAGCAATTGACAAAACCTATTAACAGCTTTGTACTGTTAGGTAGTCCACAAAAACTGTATCTATACATTATTTTTATTACCCGTCTACATACTATACTACTATGCGTAAAATAAATTCACTAATTCGGCAAATTGCGCGTTTAAACTTTTGCATACATTCTGTTTTGTCTACAGACTACGAACATCTTGGTGTTATATTGTTTCTGCCTACCCCGATTTATCCGAGGTCGTGAATTCAAAATTGGCATCAAAACAAATATGTCAATTTGAACTTCTAACTCTTCGGCGAAAGGAAACACTTAAGAAATGTAATGAAAACGGCAGAAATATGGATATGTCGAATGTTACATTGTCCATAACGATAACAAAAGAACATTGCCTCTGACTACCCCATTTAGGGGTTATAGTCGTAAGCATATTTATTATATTCCTATTATAAATGTATAGTTACAGATTTTGTGGTGTACTTGGTGTTATATTTCAGATTACCAACTATATGTTTTATGTCTAATATTTCAAAATGTATAAGTCTATAAAATACATCTAAAACATTAATCCCGGATTTAAGAATAAAATGTATCCTATTCAGGTATTAATAAACAGCCTTCCTCAGTCCGCCATTTTTCTCCTAAAGCTCTATACAAACTAATGCTTATCTGTGGATCTCGCTTAAAAATCTTTTTACCAATAAAAAAAAAACTATTACATTCAATGCATAGATTTTTGGCAAACCTTCCAATATTACAATGATTGGATACCTAATAATTACATATTTATTGTTATAAATTAAACAAAATAAAAATATTTTACATATTTTATATTTTTAAAATAATATTTAGGTAAATATAATATGTAGAATCATTATATAAATAGGTTTCAATAAATGCCAAGAGTACCTAAATCTGGTATAAAGATAGTGTTGTCCTTTTTTATATTATTCCAGATTAATCTCCTTCTAAAACGAATAACCAGTGACATCATTGAATGGTAAACCCATTCGACCAAGATATTTGTGTAATGTCCTTCTATTGAATTGTTTAAACTTCTCTCTACGTCAATTTCGTGCAGGAAGACCTGGTTTAAATTTAACCGATGTCCAAGTAGTTAGGTGATATTCGCTTACAGTTGTTTTCAGAATTACTCATATTTGGTCCTTCACGCCGGATTAAAGTGCAAACGTGAATATTATTGAAACAAGCATCCTCCACTCCTTGTTCGGAATTACTACTAAATGTGTAACAGGGTATATTTTAAAACCCAACTAGGTAAGGATAAAAAAAATAGTAAATTGGATTGCAGCAAGTCAATCAACAACGTAAAATGTTCATAGCACGGTTATATAGAAATTGAAAGAGTAAAGGAAGAACTAGGATTTACACGTTTGTTGTAAAGTTTTAAACAGTCATAAAACACTGTGGCATTTATTGAATTTATATGTTTTACTAAATCTGTGGTAAATATTGAGAAGCGTGCATTAAATTATGGTAGAAAAAGTGCGGGAACATAAAGGTAAAAATAAAAATCGAAAATGTACAAATAAATGTTTATTGGGGAGTTATAAATAAGAGGGATAATTAAAGCGAACAGCACGTTAACATAATATAAAACATCCCTCGGCAGATCTGATCGTCGAAAATCTCGTATTTGATTTCAATGATATTATTTAAAATACTCGCACTTACTTTCACAGCATTTATTGTTGAATTTGAAATAATTAAAATTGGAATGAATGAACGATATTTATATCGTTCCAGTTCTAATTCGTTCATTTCATTCGTTCGATGTATCTGTTTGTTGTTTATTACTCTGAGCGCTATATTGTTTCAGTACCTGGTTAGAATTTTATGTATAAGATTAATAGGAATGTGTTTAAAATTTAATAATAATTTATTACACTATAAATATATGGATATTTGATAGAGAAATAAATTTTTTCACATCATATTTTTTACTTTCGAGTCACAGATACAGTGTAAAAACGAGAAGTAATCTTGCTAGATTAATATAGTTTCAAATATTCCAATTTCAAAATTCTAAATTAATTCCAAAATCGATAGGATTGATCTATATACGACCTATATACAGAGTAAAACAAAATCTTTCATTGAAAGGGATCTTACACTAGCAAAACTGTACATTTTCAAGATTTCAGCAAAAGTAGTTCGTAAAATTACAAAACAAAAAATGGAGGCCTAACTAACACGATTCATTCAAATTGAGGTCTCGAGTTTGGGAAACTCAAAATTTATCTCATTTTGTAATTATGGATTCATAAAATTCTTATCCCATTACGTTCTATATCTATAGGACTTTTTTTTTAAAAACGGAACACACGAGGACGCAGCTCACTCGATGGTAAGTGACTGAAACGGAGATAATACTTTTAATATGTAACGAGAGGATTTCAGAATGGAAAACTACAGAAAAGATGTGGAGACAGACATTAGCAAAATGTATTTGAATGTAAAAACAATATGTCAAAAAAATATATAAATTTCGAATGACAATAAGAATATAAAAATGTAGCAAAGAGTTCGCTACAGTGACCACCGCCAACTATGATCACGCGCAACACCAGAGGCATTGCAGATGTGATTACATTCTAAAATTTACGTGTCTTTACAAATTTAGACACCAGCTGTATATCTGATAATGTAAGTAGCAAGTATTTTAAATAATATAGTAAAATCAATATAACGTTCTATTAAGAAACCACAACATTGTGTATAACATCGAGAATTATTCGTATCATCTCGTTGCAATTATTTACAAAACGTGTTCATAGCAATTTTGTAAACATTGCCAACTGTGAGCAAACTTCTTATTAATATATTTATATAAATAATGTGATGTTTCATTTCAAATTATAATCTCATAAAACATATATTCTGTTATATATATAACAGTCTATGTATAAACTTAGTTCTTTGAAAATTAGACTAAGTTGTCCTCACTAACATTGATTTCTGCTTGAATGGGAATTCAACATGTCCAGTGCTGCCAACAATTTGAAATTTTATAATATCAGGTCACATATAACGTCAAAAATATTTAACTATTAGTTTACAACATACGGTATTACAATTAATCTGTTAGTTCCAATTAAATAAAGACGTATTTCTTTCTTAAATTCCGGGAAAAACTCCTATGTGTTGGCAACACTGAATTAGACTATACTATGATGGGTATAAACAAATCGTAAACAATTTTGTGCATAATAAAAACAGATTTGACAGCGTTAACAAACTAACAGTGTCAATAAAATAAAACTGTTTTTAATAATCTCTCCATAGTAATATTATATATATAAAAATGGCATACAGATATATAAACGAAAGAAATACGCACGAATTAGTTTACAGGTTCGAGTGTTCGGAGATCAAGCGTTTTGGCGCGCTCCACAGATTAAAAAATAAATATAATTCATAACCTCCACGATAACATTCCGTTGCCATTTAAAAAAAAAAATTAAATACATTTAAAATTAATAACTATACTAATAATATTATACAATTGACTATGATCTAAATTGGAATATTTTGTAATATTTACAAAAAATACACGAAGCGAATCTATTATTGATAATAAACACTATGTTAACTAATTAATTATTAACACATAGATATAATTGTCTTTTTTTTTTAAAAAAACCAAAAGTGTTATTCACTTTTGATTCGCACCACATTATAATAAAAGATCACAATTATTTGGTTGTGGATATTTGTATAAATATTTAATTTACGTATAAAGAAATGCATCCGGCTGAAGTGTTTGTTCGAAGAACACTCCAACGTCAAAAATAAAACGTTCCTTTTTTATTTTTAACAGCATAGTAGACAATTTTGTTATTTATATCTCTATAAATCAAAGTATTAATACAATACCTTATAAATAGATCGATATATTTTTATTTTGCATTTATTTTCGACATCGAGTTATGGGCCCCTTAAATACAAAAGAACTAGACAGAGTCTAATAATACGTTAAATCGTGTAATTCCATAATTTATTGGCGCAAATAAGTTCTTTTCTCGTTAAACAATATTATGTATTCACAATTAATGATTTATAAAAGAATTATATTCAAAAACAAAGCGATTAGTGCGACAAGTCGATTCGACAATCAAGCCATCAAACTCTATGGTCTCATGGTCTATGGTTACATAACGAATAGACCACAGAGTTGTATATGTAACCATAAACAAGTAATCGATTAAGCCTGTCTTTATTTTTAATAATAAAATCTAAGAAGGTGATGGTAAGCATACGGTCCGCCTAGTAAGTGAGTACTGCAACGCAAATCGACAAGTTGCTATCAGCAGTCTTGTGACATGAAATACACCCACAGAGTTACAGAAGTTAGTGATTTATACATATATGGAGTATCGGTAAATCGATAATTATAATACCATCACTAGAGAGTTGCCAAGTCGACTTGTCGTTTATTAAAAACGGCCCTCTAGACATGTGGCAAGCGAATTTATCGATGGAATCGATATCTAACGAGTTCGTAGGATAGAATGAGATAGCAACGTCGGATGTCTCATTTCAACTCATAATATACGTTGACATTATACGTCATCCGCCATCTTGTGTTGGCGGCCATTTTGATAACATTACAATATTGTATTATCACGAGAACAGAACAATATTGTGTGTAACAAAATTTAAAGAAAATTGATTAGAAGGAATTGATTCTAATCCAGCTCTTAACATTTGATCTAAACAAATTAATAAACATTGCAAGTTAAATAAAAGTTTGTAAAAAAGCCTATGCATTTGGTTGTTAAGTTAAATATGACATGAGAGTAAACTGTCTTTGTATTACCATAAAATGGGGCACTGTGCACACCTTATACAAGCAGATTGAATATAATTATTCAGGTCTCATTTATTTATATACTATATGATTTTATATTTATAACTATCATAATAAATTTTAAGATATATCAATAGAGACATATTTGCGTTCTTTCAGAACTGTTTTCATTATAAATTTTAATTATTAAGTTAATTTGTTATTATGGCTTAAATTGATAAACAATATTAGAGGGTTGGTTAATATTGGTCACACACATGACCGGAAATGATAATGCCGGTAGGAGAACGTTCGCCACGAAAGATCCGTTCATCCGACCCAATAATTTGATAAAATTAATTCCAACTCTTGGTGATTCGACACGGTGACTCAACTACCCCGATGTCGCAGGCTGAATTTGATTCATTTTCATCCCTTAAAAAGGTCTATTTGACATTTTATTAAATGTGCTTTTGATTATCGTTGATTGATCATTACTAGAGTAACGTCAAGTCACTCCACATTGGCTTAGTGTATGTTTAAAATTATTGTCCATGGGAGGAGGGAGGCAATTCCCTTGTAAAATGCACATATTTTTATAAAAAAAAAAAATGCATGGGTCATAATCATAAAAAAAAATAACATAACTTTGATGGTGTATGTGTCTAATATCACAATTCTGTTTAAAATTTACGAAATACTGGCCAACAAGTGAACTAACGTAGGAACTAATGTGGTATCACTACCCTTTCTAGTGGTCACATGGGGTATTTACATTTCAATAAGCTATAAGATTTTAATGAATGCTACCACATTGAAGGTGTTTAGTGAAATATCATATGTAACTATTTAACTGACCCTTTGAACATTGGTCTGCTCTCTACCGCCACCTAGCGGATTAATTCTTTCTTTTTCACATTGTTAGGGAGGCAAACGAGCAGACGGTCCACCTGATGGAAAGCAGCTACCGTTGCCTATGAACACCTGCAACACGAGAGGAGTTGCTGGCCTTTAAATATCTGTAGGCACGTTTATTTAAATACCCCATATTGTATTGTAAAAGGAAAACTGAAGACGGAAGCTCATTCCACAACCTAGAACGAGGTAAAAATGAACGGGACGCACGGATAGTAAGTGTGCCATGCACTCAAGAAATGAGAGTGAACTGCAGCTATATGGCGAGAGGTACAGTATTGTTTCTTTTATACTACTTAGAATGGCAAACAAGCTGACGGCCCACCTGATGGAAAGTGGTAACCGTGGCCTACAGACATTAACAGTACCATGGACATAACAGAGTATACTGTTTAGCCCATGATACCCCCCATGCGTTGCCATTCCTGAGGACTCAGGTGTTATTCCTTTGTACCAGTAATTAGGCAAGCATCCCTCTTAAAATACCCACAAACAACTAGCAACCCACCGACCCCCTGAAGGGAGGCTTATGTTCAGCAGTGAACCATTTAAAGCAGATATGATGATGAATGTAAATTTAATCAATTTAGCGATGGAGATCTGATGAACTATTATGGAGAATCTGGTTAAACCTGGAGATGGTTAACCCTTCTTTGCATAATGGTGGAAATTCTTATCATAACATTGAATGTCCAAAAATTATATAAAAGAACAAGTTAATTTTAAGTTGATCGTGTCTGGATACCTTTTTATTGTCTATTGAAGAAAAAAAAAATCATAGCTGTCAAATTTATTTTTTTAACCATTTTTCCTTTAATATACATATATATTGGACTTACAATATCTGTATATTGGATAAATAAAAAAATCAATAAATATATGTTATCCAATATATAAAATATAATTTAGCACCCGATTGAAATTAATACAGATATCTGACCGATATGGGCGTATCGAAATTGGTGTCACCAAAGGTCATCAGATGACCTTTTAGCGCTATCAATGTTGAGAGAAAACCAATATATAAATGTCGAAGCATGCCTAATCTGGTATGTTGATTATTCTGGGAATCTCCCGGATATTAGGATAGATTTCGAGGAATAAAATCAAAGTTATAAGTTAACTATGGATTAAGGTACGCGTTTTGTGTCGAGTTTAAAGCAACGTATAGAGGCAGTTCGCGCTTGCCAATCCGGCAGACTGACCTATAAATTAATAATTAGCAATCACTTCGCTATAGATTGCTTCCGATTGCTAGATGCACTTTTCTCGACGAACAGCGCCATTAGCAATTTACTAACAATAAAACATCATAGTAATTTTAGTTTCGTAATTGCTCTGCAGAGGCAGCAACGACGTTTATTGCTGATCCCTCATCAATCGCGGTTAAGTAAAACAAAACTTGTCGAAAATCAAAATTGACGCCAATTATTTACCGAAAACCAATTGAAAGACATAATCGGCCTGTGGATTTGTCATAAAAAAAAAAATCAAATACCTAATTCTTATCATCCGTCTATTGCTACCGAATTAATTTATATTTACATTATATGGAATTATAACTGATTTATTAAAATATTGCTTTTGATTAATGCATAATTCATTAAATACGCAATTACATTAAATGTCATTTTTTTTAAGCGTAATGTGTTGTCACACTATCACTATTTATAAAAAGAAATCTCCATTATTCACAACGCATGGTCACCGTGGCCATACATTGCGCGCGTCCATCCTATTCGTAACGGATGGATGATTAAGTCCGCAGTTCTGGCGTGGTATGGTCACCTTAGTAGGAGGCTTCGTGTCCCGCCAAAATATAGAGATCGTTGCCATCGTCGCCGGATAGTGTGTTGTTTTGTAAAATATGAGATTCCAAGACAACCACTCTGAAAAATAAAACACAAATGTGTTAATGAAAAATTGTTTATAGTTCATTTAGAGTAAAATTTATATCTACAAACGAGTTTTAGGATAAATATAAAATATATACTAAATGGCAATAATACGATGCGAAAGGTGTTATTTAAAATAACGTAAAAAAAATTACATTTTTTTATACCACAACGGTACTAAACAAACCGTCCACTACAGCCCGTCTGATGATAAACGGTCACTGTAGCCTGTGGACGCTGGCAACACTACAACTAACACGTCACGTGCACGTTGCCAACCCTAAAGAAACCTTTAATGAAGAACCCCATACTGTAATCTCTAGGGAAAACCTCAGCAGAGAGCTCATCCTACAGCCTGAGCGTTTGCAGAAGAAAATTTCTTTGGACCACTAAATTGAAATTTAAATAATAAGAATTATTACTGGTACAAGTACAACAATGTCATGTTCGTGGCGTGATACTTAAATCACAAAAACTATTTAATTTCCTGTGAGAAGGCGAGGGATGGACAGCAATGTCCCAATGAAAACATCTCTAAAAGCTTAACTGTCGACAAAGTTTGTCAAATACTGGTGAAACCCCCCTTTAAGGAGGAGGCTGCAGTGGACAGTTAAAAGCTGATATGATGACGATGTTGAATTACTTATTCTATCTATTACTTATTATTAAATCCATTTATTGATTTTTTTTCATCAAATCAATTTATCAATCATGGTTTGGTTTGATCATTTGGAGAGGATGGATGAAAGAAGAATTATAAAAGAGATTTATCGAGCAAGAATGAATGGAGATGTCGGTAGGGACCGCCCTAGATGGATGTATGTTAACCAAATAGACGACGTGCTGAAGAAGGGCCAAATTAAAAGTACCCGTAACCGGCGAGCGTGTATAAAAAGATTGATGAATGTGGAGGAAGCGAAAGAGGTTTGTTTGAATTGAAGCATTTGGCGTTCCATTGTTTTTGCCTACCCTAATGGGAAACAGGCGTGACAGATATGTATGTATATATGTATTTATTGATCTATTATATGTTTGTTAGTGTTGTGACTGTGTGCGGTGTGCGGTGTTGTATGTACAGCAGGCGTACTTGTCGCTGCCCAGCAGGCGGTAGGCTCGCGAGCGGTCGGCGATCTCCTGCGTGACGGCGGCGCTGCGCAGCGAGCGGCCCTGCACGCCGTGCCGGTGGAACGCCAGCACCGAGTCCGCCAGGCACACTGCCGCAACACATCGTATCATCATCACCATTATACAAGCGAAAAACAAATATAAATGACATATTAACCAGCTTATGAAAACACGACAATAATTATATTTATTACACTAAAATTGTACTAATTTCCATATCAATCCGACGCGAAGGACCAGGTCCTTAGAGCCGGATCAACTTAATAGTTTCCTTCTTCTTCTGAAAAGCTTTATATTCATCAATCGTAAAATTGTATTGTATTGTAAAAATCTTTATTGTACATAAGTCAGATTAAATACTAGTAAATGAATTTCCTCTTCGTTCATTTAAGTTTCCTCTTGTCGGTGCAACCAATTCATGCATCTTCTTCTAGCTAGTTCTATCCCAGGTCATATCCTTGACCTCCCTATACGTCATGATACCTGATGTTTCTTTTATCTGTCCCATGTAGTTATTCCTCGGTTTTCCTCTTTACCCCTCAATTTTTCCTTCTACTATGCTCTTAAAAAATCATCATGTCGTATAAGGTGACCCAGCAATAATTTCCTCAAAGAAGAAATTTCTGAGTTTGCGGTAATCACGTACCATCAGATGAGTCTTTTTTTAATGGGTAAAAATGTCATGGTAAACCCGCCTGGGCTATCAGTATTCACTGGCGGAGTACCAGTGAGAAATGATAGGTGAGGATGAAAAGGCAGATCAGTTAGCCTATCATGACGAATTTAACGATAAATTAGTCACGATAGTTTCCAGGGGGAATCGTGTGGAGGTCAACCTGATAGCGTTCATTGATAGCAACGGGAACTAACCTCCTCATTACTAACAATACCTTCCCCCCTCCATCAGGTGAGTCGTATGACTAGTTACCAACGTTGCATAAAATAAGAAGCACTCACGTATGCTGTCGATGTTGAAGTCGAACTGTATCCTGGAGAGCAGCTTGTGCCGCCGCTTGTCGTCGTCGTGCCGCCAGCGCGCCTCCAGGCTGGGCGGTAGCGCTGGGATTATGTCCACCACATTCTCGTGGCATACCAGCACCTGGCCGACAATAATTTATTTATTTATTTATTTAAAGGAACACCAACAGCATATTGCATTATAACATATAGGTATAACAAACATTAAATACAATACAATATTAATGCACACGCCTGTTATAGGTATTCACAGCATTCACTTTAACATAGTTATACAGTATAAAATGAATTTTAAGGGATTAAATCTATACTTATAATAAATCTGTAGAGAGGTCAATTCTGTACATGAAATATATTTCCAAAATAACTATCAGCGGGTGATTAGTGATCGATACTGATGCCAAAAATGCAATCGGTAAAATTTTTGTCTGTCTGTCTGTATGTTCGTTATAGAAACAATAACTACACGACGGATTTTAACGAAACTTGGTACAATTATTCTTCATACTCTTGGGCAGTTTATAGTATACTTTTCATCATACTAAAATTACATATACAAACGAATAAATATATATAAATAACAAATATACTTACACATATATGACATATACTATATTACACATGAAATTGAGAATAATATAAAGTACTCACTGCTCGGGTAAAGTAAAAGAGTGAGCATGAACTTTTTTTTTTTAAAGACATAATAACATATGTACGCTATGTACATATCTATATGGAACTAACCGCATCCTTGTTGAGCTGGTGGACGGCGCGAAGCGTGTGTAACCTTTCGTTGCCAACACTGCTGCCGCCAGAGGTCGATAGCTCCAGCTCATCAGAATGAAACCACGTCGCGCCTGCAATACATTTAAGTACATCTTATCAATGATTCAATCTGATAAACTGATAGAGTCATAGGTTTTTTTTTAATTGATGAAAATTGAATAGCTATCGGGATACGCTGGCGGGGCACCAGTGAAGGATGATAGGTGAGGATGAAGCAGGTCAGTTAACCTATCGTTTTCAATTCATCAAAAATTAACCACGGCAGTTTCCAGGGGGAACCGCGTGGAGGTCGACCTGATAGGGTGTATTGCTAGCAATGGGTCAATTAGACCCCATTACTAACAATCCCTTTCCCCCCTGGCAGAAGTCATAGGGTGTTAAGTACGCCTTTTCAGGTACACCCTTATTTTTAAAAACTAAAAACTTCACAGACTTATTATATTTATTACACTGTTTTTTGAATAAGCAAAAATACAATAAAAACAATAGAGAATACCATCTTACATTATATAGATAGAGTGTCTCCATACAAATGCTTCAAGAAAAATGGGTCAACTTCTTCATACAATTTTCCATAATAAATAGTTAGGAGTGATTCCTTTATAACTTGTATATTTATTTTGTCTTATAAATTCTGCATCTTTTTAATGAGCAAAAACCTATTTTATTTATTAAATAATTAAATACAAATACGTCAAGATAAATTGTATGCGTAAGTATATAGAACAACTGGTACGACATCACAACCTTCAAGAAAAGAGTATATTCCTTTTTAAAAGGCCTGCAGCACACCTGCAATGGCGTTAGTGTTGTAGGTGATCACGGGCGGCGGTAGTCACTTACCATCAGGTGAGGCGCATGCTCATTTGCCCCCTGTGTTGTAAAAAAAATTGATAAAAAACAAATCAGCTAATTTGATAATTAGCTGACAAAAATTTGACCTGTTTTTGAAGGTCGATGCTCTATCTATATAATCTAAGCACGCCATCTATCGTCGCAAGTGCAAATAATTGATGTGAGCATACATACCCGAGTTGATGTTGAGCAAGTTCAGCCTGAGCGGCTTGTTGTTGACGCCCACGCACAGCAGCGGGTACTCCAGCTCCGGCGTGATGATCAGCTCGAACACCAGCAGCGGAGACGGCAGCGAACACTCGATGTTCTGCGAACGATTTGGTATGAACGTCGATTTGGAAATCTTTTATAAGCCTCGACTATTAGTTTGCAGATTACCAGTAATAAAAAAATAAAAAATAAACACTAAAACGAAACCAAAATAATTAATTTTGCTGGTTGCTGGAGCCGCCTCAGCTGTTGCTATATATGTACAGCTCCAGCGAGATGTACCTATACAGCGCTGATTTTCAAGCGGCCCCTTAACTCTTTTCCTTTAGCATGCGTGCCGGTCGCCAATAGAGATAAAATATAATAATAAATATAAGATATCAGCTATCAGCAATAAAACTGCCCTGTTCTTGTTAATGGGTGAAGATGGAATAGGAACACCGCCTGATTAATATGAACTGGCGGGCAACAGGGTGAAAGCAGGACAATTAGCATACTATGACGATTTCAAGAATCAACCACGATGGTTTCCAGGTAAACCGCGTGGAGGTCGACCTGATATTATACCTTACAATATACTCTATATAACAATGGGTTAACAATGGGACTGCTCAGACCCCTTTTACTAACAATCCCTTTCTCCAAACCACGTTTTTGTATCGATTGTATATGCACTCGCATCACGTTTTTTCAAAGAATAGACAGAGAATAATACTGTTTTTTTTTTTATATATATGTATACATAGTATTAAGTACACAGATAGAGAAGACATCTCTATCTATATGCCACACTGATATTATAAATGTGAAAATTTAAAAAATCAGACAGGCTGTACGCATATTTGCCACCTTTGTGGTATAAAGAATCCTAATCTCAATGAAATTTAATACATGGGTAGGTTATATTCTATATTAACACAATTGATGTATTATATACTGATTCGATCAGGCAAAGCTGCTGGCAAAATCTAGTATTTTTTCTTTTTTTTTATACAACTTAAAATGCCAAACATGCTGACGGCCCACCTGATGGAAAGTGGTAACTGTTGCCTATAGACATAAGCAGTACCATGGACATAACAGAGTATACTGTTTCGCCCATGATACCCCCCATGCGTTGCCATTCCTGAGGACTCAGATGTTATTCCTCTGTACCCTATAAATTCACTCCATATCCCATCCTTCAAACCGAAACCAAAGTATGTATAAATCACCTTGAGCAGCATGAATTTTCGCAGCGGATCGTACCACTGCATCAAAAAGAGTCCAGCCGGCGTCGCGCCGCACAGGTACTTGTAACCGTTGTACGGGTTCCGGGCGACCGCACAGCGGATGCAGCCTGCAATGAAATTAGACAACATAAAGAAAGGCCATTTTCATCGGCCATGTCATCATTCATCATCACTGTTAATTTCAAGTGATCATGTATGTACTAACTAAAATAATAAAATTATATATTATATATATAATTTATATATATAATATAATTTATATATATAAACTACACAATGTACATGAGAGATATTTAAAAAAAAAATACAAGGGGTCTAAATAAGACTAATACATGCGAAAATATTCTTTTTTTTTTTATATACAATTTAGAATGGCAAACAAGCTGACGGCCCACCTGATGGAAAGTGGTAACCGTCGCCTATAGACATGAGCAGTAGTACCATGGACATAACAGAGTATACTGTCTCACCCATGATACCTCCCATGTGTTGCTATTCCTGAGGACTCGGGTGCTATTCCTCTGTACCCAGTAAATTCACGCCATATCCTTTCAAACCGAAACACAGCCATGCAAACACAACTGCTTCACGGTAGAAACACGAATAGGACAGAGGTACTCAAGCAATCGACTTATGTACAAAGTCTCCCTCTGGCAATAAATTAATTAATCCTATTAAAACATCTCTAAAGCCTAACTGCTGTTGCCAATCCGCCTGCCAAGCGTGGTAACTACTGCCCCCCTTCCCAAGGGGAGGCTAATGTTCAGTATATATATATATATATATATATATATATATATATATATATATATATATATATATATATATTGCTCATACTTTTTAGACAACGACGATGTTACCAACCTCTGGTGTCAGGTACCCTAGTGGTGAGCGCGAACCTGCGAGGCAGGAGCCGTGGCGGAAGCACCCTCAACGATTTTCCACCTCGAGCGCTGCCAATCAGCGCCAGCAACTCGTGCCGGTACAACGATGGGGTTTTGCCTACGTAGAATACAAACAAAATTATATGTATTATATATTTTTTATACCATGAAAGTGGCGGACACCCATACAGCCTATGGACGCCTGCATCACTAGAAGATCTGTCACATGAGAATCTTTAATACACACTTTTTGAAGAATCTCATACTGTAGTCTACGGGGAACGAAGTCTAAGAAAGATACGTATGAACATGGACGGTTAGACAGAGAAAGACCTAAAAAGAGACGGAGGAACTGTGTGATAGATGACTTATTTTTACAGCACGAATGTGGAAAACAAGCATATGGCTTGTCCGAAGATAAAGGGTCACAACACAACTGCAACACTAGGGGTGTCACATGCACGTTACCTTATGTTTTTTTTTTTGGGACGGCGACTTACAAACCTACTTAGTACAACGTGTACGGTGTTATGTCCGCCATATGTACATAAAATTATACTGTGATTTAAAGTTTAAATAAATAAATATGATCTCACCTGAGAGGGACATGAGCACATCTTTGATGACGTGCATCCATATGGTCCGCCGCGGACACAGCTGGTCCATCGCGGTTTCGTGCAGCTCGTTCAAATTTAACGTGTAGATACCCTCCTCCGCACCTGTTCAAATATAATTACATTTGTTACTTTCTTAAAATTAAATAGCTGAATGGACTTGAATGAAATTTGGTACATGGATAAATTACATCCTAATACATTGAATAGTATTATGATTATATCAGGCGAAAGAATAAGAATTCAGGCGCCACTTTAACTTAAATAAATTGAATATTGGTCTTATTCAATCTATGTTAGCTGAAATTTTAACTTAAACCAGAAATTTTTTAACATCTCTGTAAATTATTGATGCCCATTAATTCTTCTCTTTCCGCGTCTAGGGAAAGTAGATAAAGTTTTGTTTGAGAAATCAGTTCAGGATACGATAGGACTGATATATCTGAAGAAGGTAAAAGCCCTTAAAATAATATAAAAAAAAAATTATTATATTAGGCTTTAACTGTCCACTGCTGGACATAAGCCTTCCCCTTGATGGATTTTACCAATAGTTGTCACGCTTGGCACGCGGATTGGCTACCGCAGTTAGGCTTTAGTGATGTTTTAATAGGAACGCCGCTGCCCATCCTTCGACATCCCTTAGTCGTCTCTTACGATACCTATGGATAAGGAAGGGGCGGCTGGACTACTCTATGGCGGGACCACACGGCCAAATAAAGTGATAAAAATATATCTAATAAACAATTTTTATTCAAATAAACTTAATAATACGCAATTTTGAATAGTCATTTTTTTTATAAACTACCGCCCAGTTCGTAATGCAATTTCATCTGAGAACAACAGCCTAACAACACAGCTGTAGCTTTTTTTCTTCAAATAAAAGTTAAATTTACAAGAAAAAAAAAACTATGAATGGATAAAATAACTATCACAAACTTCGTATAGATAAAAAGAAACAAAATAACAAACTACAAAGCTACAATTAACCACAGTATTCTTAAACAGACCGATCCTAGTAGAAGCACCCGTTCACGAGTATGACGGATGAGCAAGCCATCGTTGTGTTTAATCATATTATTGGGAGCCCAACGACCTGGTCTACCATGTCGCTATCACAATACTTTACATACTGCTTTAGGCGGGCGAAAGTGTTAGATAAAGCTAGTGAGTTACATATTTACCTATAAGTATATGCTGATCCCTCGTATCCGGATGGATCCATGACGCTGTGCAGTTTATCCTGAGTGGGCATCCGTTGAACACCTGTTATACATAACCACTATTAGGCAACTTTTACACCTTTTTCTTGACCCTTCTTTGCATAATGGTGGAAATTTCCATCATAACATTGAATGCCCAAAAATTATAGAAAAGAACAACTTCACTTTAAGTTGATCGTGTCTGGTCCCTTTTTAATGTCCATTGCAGAAAAAAAACATAGCTGTCAAATTTATTTTTTTAACCATTTTTCCTTTAATTTTGAACATGAATTATATCACCTTGATTTATTTCACCAATAAAAAAAAATCATGCAAAGAAGGGTTAAATGACCGAATGAATGAATGAAAACTCTTTATTGTTCCCTTCAAAGAATGATACAGATTATAAAGATTAATTGATAATCTTAGATCCCTTCCCACCCAATAGACACTAAGGAGGGGGGGGGGGATTGTTAGTAATGAGGATCTGACAACCCCACTGCTAGCTATCATGTCGACCTCCACGCGGTTTTCTTTTAAAATCATCTTGGTTAATTCTTTTTGAATTCGTCACGATGGGCCAACCGACGTGCTTTCATCCTCACCTATCATTACTCACTGGTGCCCCGCCAGCGTAAATCGGTAGTGCAAAAGGGGTTACCATTCCATTACCACCCATTGAAAAAAAATACACTTAATTAATATTTAATTACATCAATTTAATAATTATATAATTAAGTATTCATTTTATTTGTGTACATATTGTTAAAGAGCCTAAGCAAGATAAAGAGACAACAATGGGCGGCCTTATCGCTAAATGGTCAATTTAAATTCGTAATAGAGAGATAAGCATATATAGCATAATGCATGAAACTAACTATATAATAGTCTTAAAGACTATTATATAGTTAGTTTCATGCATTACAGAAATTAATGAAATTTATTTATTAAAAGTAATTTTTTATTTGAAATTTGAAATCAAACAAAATCTGTTTGTTTCGAAAACAATTAATTAATTAATTAATAATGAAATTACTAGACTCTATCAGGTATACTTCTACGTAATTTCCCTTGAAAAATTTACTTATTTCTCGGTTTGCCCAATAGTTGACTGGTAGAAAACACTGTCCGGTGTTAGTAAGTGCTTTATATTATTCTCAATTTCGTGTAACATATAGTATACGTCATATATGTGTAAGTATATTTGTTGTTTATATATATTTGTTCGTTTATATATGTAATTTTAGTATGTATGTATATGAATAATTAGTAGTACTGCATTCGAGTATTCTGCCACTTCCCTACGATTGACTGGGAGAGAATGCTTTTAGCATTAAGTCCGCCATGTACACCTATTTGTACTAATAAATAATATAAATATACTATCGGCCTGTTCTATACTGTACATTGCTAGTAATAAGGTTGTCAGATCCTCATCACTAACAATCTCCCTCCCGATAATTATCGGTTGCAGTCGAGCGGCCCAGTTACCTTGGAGAAGCAGGCCCCCATGTGGACTTTAGGCGTGGGCGGCAGGCCGTTGGGCGCGGGCCGCGGGGGCGTGTGCGTCCGGCGCGGCCGCGAGCGCCGCGGGGGCACCGGCGGCACGGAGGGTGCGGCCGGTGCCGGGGACGCCGTGCTGCCGGACACTGCGGACACGCCGGTGCACAATGAATAAACAAATAAATAAAAATATTTTTTATTCAAGTACACACAATAAGCATTCTTGAGTATGACTACTTAAAAATATAATGTAAGATAATATTAGTAACATATAATGTAATATATTTTTTTTATGAATCTACCGCCCAATTCGAAATGCAATTTTAGCTGAGAAGAACGGGCAAGACACAAAGAACAAAGCACACATTCTCACTACAATTGTATTTAGACTACAAATAATTTTATAATACTACTGGGTGTTGAAGTGTGGTCCCGGCATAGAATGGTCCCCCTCTTACTTTCCCAGGTGGTGTGTGATAACTATGATCAGCTATTAATTTTTTTATGCAACTTAGAATAGCAAACAAGCTGACGGTCCATCTGATGGAAAGTTGTAACCGTCGCCTATAAACATGAGCAGACATAACAGAGTATACTGTTTCGCCCATGATACTCCCCAAGCGGTTTCATTCCTGAAGACTAAGGTGTTATTCCTCTGTACCCTGTAACTTCACTACCATATCCCGCCCTTCAAACTAAAACACAGCCATGCCAACACAACTGCTTCACGGTAAAAACACGAATGGGCCAGAGGTGGCCAAGCAAACGACTTTTATACAAAGTCGCTTTGTAATTACAGACTATTAGCCGACTTGACAAACATTGTTTTATTCCACATCTGATCCATTTTTTCTTATATATTTTATTTATGTTTAAAAACTGTCCTATTTATTAATTTACTAGCGACCCGCCCCGGCTTTGCACGGGTGAAATGCTAAAAAATATGTTTATTTACAACATCACATTAGAAACCTCTAAAATTATCAGTGTTCCTCTACAATATTATGCATGTATTATACATATAAACCTTCCTCTTGAATCGCTCTATCTAGTAAAAGAAACCGCTTCAAAATCCGTTGCGTAGTTTCAAAGATCTAAGCATATATAGGGACAGACAGACGGGAAGAGACTTTGTTTTATACTATGTAGTAGTTATTGTATGTATATCAATAATTAGTAGTACCGCATTCGTGTATTCTGACACTTCCCTATGGTTGACTGGGAGAGAATGCTTTTAGCATTAAGTCCGCCATGTACACATATTGGAATGGAAATTCAAAAATAAAGATAAAAGGATGAGTTTCTAAAATCATAGCTATCTTATGTATATGTCTATATTTTCTTTAAGTCTGAAACAGTTTTGAAGATTATTTTTGGAGTAATTAGTATTTAGATCCTATACTATTTTTAGAAAATATGATTGTAGTCAGTAGTTTATAATGTAATAAATCTTTAAATTTGTACTAATGAATAAATAAATAAATAAATAATATGCTTTTATACATTCACTTGTAAAATATATATTATACTTAACCTTGCTGGTTACACTGAGTCATAGATTGTTTCATTTGCTCTTCTAACACAATTGTTTGTTATAGTAATATTTATGTATTTATTTAATATATTATGTGTATGTTTATATTTAGTCTAATTTATGTTCATAATATATGAATATATTAGGTATTGCTTTATATTTCTTCAATTTAATAATGCATGCCTACGTATTTCTCGTTCGCCCAATGGCTGACTGGTAGAGAACACCGTCTGGTGTTAAGTACGCTATATATATGTACATAGTTTCACTGTGCATTAAAGTTGAAATAAATAAATATTTTTATTTTTTTTTCTTTATACAACTTAGAATGGCAAACAAGCTGACGGCCCACCTGATGGAAAGTGGTAACCGTCGCCTATACACATGAGCAGTACCATGGACATAACAGAACACACTGTCTCCCTCTGTAAAAATGTACACAGGCAGACTTATCGCTTAAGGGGATTTCTTGCAGTCAACCTTGAGAACTCGAAAGGAGACAGCGTCTATAGGGTTTGTATATAAAGCATAACATATATGGTAAAAAAAATACGATACATAATAAATTATATTATTAATAGCTATATAGTTATCTTAGTTCTCTCTGAACTTAATTAAAAAAAAAATCATTGTAATCGGTTGTGTGAGTTCACAGAAGAACATTAACGAATTTTGTAACAAGAGATTACCAAAAAAATATGAATTAACTTTCTAATACACAAAGCAAGAAATATATTTGAATAGAGGCATTTGGCACTAAGTTCCCTCTGTTTACCCCACAAAAAACGTGAGGTAAATACGTAACAAAAATTACCTATATAGAAAATAATCCTTACCTTTACTATCCACCTTCGCTTTATCCCTTTGGCTGTCCGACAAACTCCTTTGCCGTTGGCTAACTCTGATCTCTTCATCGGTCAGCTCCTTCTCCCTGCCATTTTCGTCGACCATATTAAATATTTCGTCGACAGAATTCGTCTTTCGTTTCGCAGCGTCTAATTCGCACTGGCAAAACTGATTCAAATCGATGCCGGCCGTAATCGAATCGGAGTTATGCCGATTATGCCTTTTCCTGTGCTCGTACGCCTTATCCGCCATATTTAGACTCATGTCAATTTTCCTGCACAAATCGTCATCGGACGTTCCGTTTTCCAATTTAGAATCGTCGGCTATCCTCAATCGATTAGCTATTTGCAACGCTCTAAAATTCGACACGGATATCTTTTGTTTTTTACAATTGTCACAGTAAACGATGCCGGAGTCCACGTTCTGGTTCGGACAATTCCTATAGTAGTTCAGTATATCCCCGTTCGAGTTGCACGCATCGCATGAGCATTTTTTCACTGATCTCTGCAGATCGCTCAGTGTGTTGTCGTCCCTTATCTCCGGTTTCGGGCATAGGCCACACTCGCAATTGGCGTTTCTAATCTGTGGCGATTCTACTATCACATCGTTCGATTGATCTACATACATAATGTCCGTCTCGCCCATTTTCCTACACAGAGGATCGTCGATTGAGACTCTGGATGCGCCGATTGGACTCTGAAAGTTCGACGCTAGACTCTGGTAGATATTTGTGGTGGAATTATTTAGATAGTTCTGCTTTAATTGCATACACTGCGATAAATGTTGGTCGTGTACGGAGAGGCCGGAGTTCGCGCTCGCCATTGCTGCCGTGTCGGCGGTTAACGGCAGTGTTGCCCTGTTCGAAATTGAAAAATTACTATTTTGGTAGTTTTTGGGAGAAAGCGTGAGGTGCGGTTAGGTGAAGCTTTCAGGGTTGTGCTGTTAGACACAAAGTTTTGTAATTAATAATATTTTATGGCAAGCATTTCGTTGTTTGTTAAATAACAAGTGGTGCTGGTGGGTTTTAAACGTAACTTAAATATTAAACGGTAGTTTTTATATTTATCTTTAAATGATGTTTAAAAATTGATGCATTTTATAAATATTTTTATCATCCATGCATCATGCCGTATTATGTGAGTTTTGCATAGGGAATATGTAAAATATTTTTTACATAAATGTATTTATTTACATAAATTGTGAATGAATAGATTATAATTTATTTTTTGTGTTATAAAAAGCTATATATACACATTAAAGTTCGGAATAAAATAAATAGATTACATTATATATATATTTATTACCATTTCTGTGTTTTTTACGAAGCTCTTTTTTTAAAATACGTACCCAATGCTACATTACTAAAAGCTCTTTGGCTAAAAGGTGTAACTACAAAATTCTAAAAATAATATCTACCAAATAATATATATACCTAATATATTTATTCCGAACCATTACCTCTTTTAATGTAATTAATTTAAAATACAGCATAAAAGTAAATATATATGTAGGTAATAAGTAGAAATGACACTCATATTTTTTTTTTAAATATCGCAAAGGTGGAGGACATACGTGCAGCTTGACTGATGGTTAAACGGTCGCTGTAGCTTATTTCTGAATGTGGCAACACCGACAAAAAGTACCTTACCTCTATTCAGAGCACACACATGTTGGGAGAGTTGTCACAAAATTATTTGCATTTAATACATAAAACTTTAGGTCATTACGCGACTAAAGCAAGACACGAATGAGCGAGACGCACGCCGCTGTGTACGACAAACACCACATTGATAAATAGATAGGTAAACTGTTTGTCTGTTTGTTTATTCCTTGTTATTATGTTACTAATGTTATCGGCAACGCGCGCGTAATACCCCTGGTATTGCAGGCGTTCATTGGCTACGGAAACCGATTACCATCAGGTGGGCCGTATGCTTGTTTGCCACCTCAGTGGTATAAAAAAAAAGTGGTATAAAAAAAAAGTATCATGGGCGAAACAGTATACTCTGTTATGTGCATGGTACTGCTCATGTCTATAAGCGACGGTTACCACTTTCCATCAGGTGGGCCGTCAGCTTGTTTGCCATTATAAGTTGTATAAAAAAAGAACAAACGAGAGTCTCGTTTCTACCTAACTTAATTATTCTTATAAATATGTAATAAATTTAAAACTTATTTCGATACATGTAAAATATCTAATAACATATTTTTATATTTAAAAAATAAATACATACACAGTAACATTCCCATACAAATTCTACACATACAAATACTAAACTACACACATACATATACGAAATACAATGTTTCCATGCATTTTACAACTTCCTTTCTTTACCTGAGCATTAATTCTTCGTCAATATATTGCAAGAGGCTCCTAAAACAAATGAGACAACATACAGACATGTGCTGGCACACTGCACGCCGATTTACACTTTAAGTGTATGACAATATGGTCTAGAATTACAAAAAAAAAAAGCAATATTTGGTGCTATCAAACGAAATTTCACATTTCAAAGGTGCAAATTGATCATGGGGAATATTTGTTTAGAATGAATGGCATTTTTTTTATTCCACTTCCCAAACTAAAATGCTAGGTGGAAAAGAGTCTAACAGCGGCATTGAGCGCCTACAATCGATTTTATTTTAATATTTGGCTGTTTACATGTAACCAATTTTTTTTTTCAAAATAAATATTTCTATCTATCTATCATGTCTATAGGCGACGGTTACCACTTTCCATCAGGTGGGCCGTCAGCTTGTTTGCCATTCTAAGTTATATATAAAAAAAGTTGTCGTTGTTCACCACAACGGGGACAGTCGACAAATGTCTCTGACTACCCCACCAAGGTTTACAGCCGTGAGAATATTTAACGATTTATTTTATTAGGGTTTAATTAAAAACATACTTTTTTAAGTCGGTTGAAAAAGCTACTTCAAGCACCTTTTTTATATTATTACTTAAAATAAAATATGGAAAATATCACTCATTAGCTGCTGTCCCCAATAACACGGTATATGCCAATTTAACGAAAATGTAATTTTAGACCATATTTCTGTAATAAAATAGTCGTATAAGCTTTCTGTAGCAGACAGAATTCGATTCTGCGTCACTTTTTTAAATATTCATGTGAACACACCTTATTAAGTTTTACTTAAAAGTTGCCCAAATAATATTCAAATAATAAATTTAAGAAAACGTATAATAAGCCAAACATATATGAAAATTACAGCACATAAATACATGCACAAGAGGTACATAACACTTCTTTTTTAAACGTGGTAACTATGCTATATTTGTGCATTCATTTCACACTCATATAAATATTTAAAATGCCATACACACTGATATGCGGTTTTTGTCAAAATAAATAATTAACAGTTCAGGAACCGAACTTATTTTATAATAACCATAAACAAAATAAAAATAAGAAAAACCTATATATAATAAATACAATATAAATAAATAAATATATACTTTAAGAATAATAGAACATATTATTCTATACAAAAATAAGCAACTTAATTTGTTGAGATGACAAAGAGAATTACGAAGCATACACACCAAAAAAAAATACAGTCGAATTGAAAACCATGTTTTTGAAGTCTATTAATAAAAAAGCTCGATCAAAATTTTCATTGTGAAACATAAAAAAAAAAACATAGAAACTACATAAATAATAATAATAAATTAATTTTAAAATCGTAGACAAATACAAACATATTATTTAAAGAGACAAAATAACCAGCATATTGCGAAATATATACATATAAAAACCTCCACCCAGATAACACACGGTAAAAATTTAGAAAAATGTAATCACATCTTGTAAAAAGCTAAAAAATTTCAAATGTTTCCTCTTCAACGGTGTTAGAACAAAACCTAAGCGTCCGAAAATAATGTTAAACGCAATGTAACAAAAAAAAAAATCCAATTAAAAATTATATTTTCCAAAAATACCTCAGAGTCATTCTCATAATATCATCACCCGTGATCACCCGACACCACTTGCTATAACATAATAGATACGAAATAAAATATAAAAAGTAAATAAATAAATGTTAAAAAGCGTTTAAATATGATTTATGAAAATTTTGTCAGTTACTCACTTTTCGCTCGAGGGCATGGTGTCGGTGGATAGGTCTTGTGATAGGGGATTGTGTTTCGGACAACTCATGAGAGAGGCTACGCTCCAGTCTTCGCTCGTCTGTCTGTGGTAACCTGAACACCATACGATAAGTTATAAATAAAGAGAAAGAGTACCAGAAATATCTAGAGTCACTCATGCATATATAAAGACATTATGAAAATAGATGGGGCAAGAAATGTATGTTAGGATAAAGGCCTTTAGCATTTGGTTTTCTTTTTACAATCTGTCTATTTTCAGGGACTTGACGTGAAGAAGATGGAAACGTGAAGAAGGAGAATCTATAGGGCGATGTCTCTATTCTATGGAGGGTATTTCTGTCGTAATGGTGCAAAGGATTTGGTGGGAAGACAGATCTTTGAGTAATCTGGAGAAAGTTGTGAAAAGAAGGAGAACACGACTAGGGGATATATACCGGTCCTGCGCAGTGTATCCCCGTCGCAGCGGTCAGGGACCAAGTCATCGTCTGCGTCCAGGTCGATGATGGGCGAGTCGTCGTACACACCTGACCGACGGCGACATACACCTCGCTCTGGAACATACATACATACAAATTGTTATTACGCTACAAACTAAATAAAAAAAGACTATTAGAGAAGGCTTTTAATACAAAGAAAATAAAAAAAAAAACAGAGATCTTAGATTATATAGATAGAGCATCGAGTCTCAAAAACGTGTCAACTTTTTGTCAGCTAACTGATAAGTTAGCCGACTCTTTTTTTTTATTAGTGTCGTGTATATGCATACAATGTATCTTGACGCATCTATATTTAATTATTTAATAAATAAAAAAAGTTTTTACGCAGTTTTTAAAAAAGGCGCAGAATTTATAAGACAAAATAAATATAGTAGTTACAAAGGAATCACTCGTAACTATTTATCATACAAAATTGTATGAAAAAGTTGACTCTCACTTTTCTCGAAGCATTTGTATGGGGACACTTTTTTTTAATGTATGATAATGGAATGATAACTCCACCTGCGGTAACGGTAAACGCTGACAGGGCACCAGTGAGGAATGATACATGAGAATGGAAAAAGCAGGTCAGTTAGCCCATCGTGATGAATATACTTGGAATTCAGCAGGATAGTTTCCAGGGCGGACCACGGGGAAGTTGTCCTGTCAGGGTATGTTGTTAGCAATAGGAGTAGCAATCCGCATTATTATTATTCAACACTGACAACGTCATAATATATCATTCAATATCAGAATATCAGCGCTATAGCAATTAAATTGCTGCAGCACATGCTGAGTGGTGACCACGTTGGCAATAATAAATGTAAAGTTTTTTCTTTTTTAATTCATAATTTATGTAATTTTTTGTTGTTGTCAATAAATGTTTTCTTCCTTTCTTTCTTCTTCTTTCAATTTATACCCACCACAAATTTATTACATTTTTTTTTTACACAATACACTTTAAGCCAATACAACCAAGCCAACTTGACCAACACATCATTATGTTGGTCAAGTTATCCAAACATTATTATTATTATTAGGACTGCGTGAGTTTGCGAGGCTCGTGCTGAAAATCAGCGCTGCAGTGTCCCTGACACTATAGCATAATGCTGAGCACGTACTTCATTTTGTAGGTATTGCGACGCACGCGCACACATACATTCCTTTTTAAAAGAGCGGTAGCACACCTGCAATGCCGCTGGTGTTGTGGGTGATCATGGGCGGCGGTAGTCACTTACCATCAGGTGAGCCGCATGCTCGTTTGCCCCCTGTGTTGTAAAAAAAAAAAAAATTTTTGATGAATTCATTTTATTTTTCCTTTTTAATTTTATATTCTTTATATATGTATTGTGTGTTATTTCTTTTTTATAATTGTTAATATATGAATTGTTTTTAACCCCTGTGTGAGTGTTGTCGAATATTTCTGTAAAATAAAGTTTCTTTCTTTCTTTCTTTCATTAGTAACAACCCGTTCCTCCTGGAGGCACTGTATGTATGTAACGTAATGACGAGACTAAGAACTCAGGCGCAGTACCGGCGGGCGGCGCTGCGGTGGCTGCGGTGGCTGCGGTGGCTGCGGTGGCTGCGGTGGCTGCGGTGGCTGCGGTGGCTGCGGTGGCTGCGGTGGCTGCGGTGGCTGCGGTGGCTGCGGTGGCTGCGGTGGCTGCGGGCGCGGCGGGCGGCTGCAGGCTGCGCGGCCGCGGCGCCGGCGCCTCGCACACCACGCGCCGCGCACGCCCCGTGTGCCGCGACGCGATCCGCTGCGGCACTGTACTCTCCGCCTATTGCCAACAATTATACTACTTAGAATGGCAAACGAGCTGACGGCCCACCTCATAGAAAGTGGTAACCGTCGCCTATACACATGAGCAGTGCCATGGACATAACAGAGTACACTGTCTCGCCAATGATACTCCCCATGCGTTGGCATTACTGAGGACTCAGGTACCTCTGTACCCTGTAAATTCACGCCATATCGCACCCCTCAAACCGAAACACAGCCATGCAAACACAACTGCTTCACGGTAGAAACACGAATGGAACAGAGGTACTCAAGCAATCGACTTTTGTACAAAATCTCCCTCTGTCCCTTCAATAATGCGCCAAATATATAATCAACGAGTGCTTGTCCGGCTCGAAGTACCATGGTCCTTCGAGCCGGACAAGCACTACATTTTAAGTATTACTATTATTAAAATATACACACAATACAGATATCTAACTGAAGCCGCTTTTATGAGGAGAAAAATGTACTTGTCATGTAAAATGCGATCAGTTCCATATAAAAAAAAATATTTATTTATCCTTCCTTTATTAACCATATTATAAAAAAAGTTAATAGATTATCACAATTATATCACATGGCGATCGTCCGTACAAGTAATACAAGATATACCACTCACCCCGTCGTCGTCCTCCTGGCTGACACTGTGACTAGGTGGGTTGGAATACTTGTGAAGCAGCTCGATCGCTAACCGCTTGCTCATGTCTTGTTGGAAGAACGCGTGCTGTTAATATGACAATACAAATTAATTACTATTAACTTACTTATTAAATTAGTTTTTTTACTTTACTTATTAAATTTATTATTAATACTATTTGTAGGGTACTCACACTATCTATACACAAACAAACACTCCGCACTAAGGTTTATTAGTAATGGGGTCTAACAACACCATTGGGAGAGCAAAAGGGTTATTAGTAATAATAATAATAATTGTTTATTTTTTTATACAACTTAGAATGGCAAAGAAGCTGACGGCCCACCTGATGGAAAATGGTAACCGTCGCCTAGACTTGAGCAGTATCATGGACATAACAGTATACTGTTTCGCCCATGATACCCCCCCATGCGTTGCCATTCCTGAGGACTCAGGTGTTATTCCTCTGTACTCAGTAAATTCACGCCATATACGTATTTAATCAGACAACACAAGGTCCATTTTATTAGTCAGAATTTACTTAACCTATTTGTAAATGAGCGGTCATGACACTTATACATTGATAACCCCATCCAATATATTAGGATGAAATAGTCCATTTTACCAGCAATTCTGACTAATGGGAACTAAAGCCCTACTGTTAGCAATCTAACAGCCCCATTGCAGGAGAAAAAGAATTATTAGTAATGGGAACTAAAACCCTACTGCTAGCAATACTAGGTCAACCTCCATGTAGTACGTCCTGGAAGCCATCGTGGTTAATTCCAGATGAATTTGTCATAACAGGTTAACTAACCTGTTGTCATCCTCACCTATCACCATTCACCGAAGTTCCATCAGCGTACATCGATAGCGCAAACGGGATAACCATCACATTTTCAATCCATTAAAAAAAAAACAGCCTCATTGCTAGCAATATATCCTTATTAAGTCGAATTCCAGTAGTTGCCACGATAGCAGGCGGGATGGCAACCGCAGTTAAGCTTTGATAATGTTTTAAGAGGGACGCTGTCGCCCATCCTATCATTCGTGACAACTACTGGCAAAATCCCCCAAAAGGAAGAGGCCTATGTACATCAGTGGACAGTAATGACAGATATCATCAAGTCGACTTCTGACCTCTCCTGAACTTTCAATAATTCCCTATGAATTCCAACGAGGTAACTGACGTGACTCCGTTTCATCTATCATTCATCACTGGTGGCCCACCAGCTCAAGCGAGGGTACCATTCTATTATCTCTCACACTCACACATATACATACACTTAAACACCAACTCTCACGCGCACACATACACACACTCCAGGACACATATACACGAAAGTGATGCTAGTCTATCATCTACTAAATTCCGACTAACCTGCAGCAATTTATCAGCGGTGGGCCTCTTCTTGGGGTTCTTGGTAAGGGAGAGCTTGAGAAACGAGTGGAACAGCTGCGACCAGCGTTCGCGCTCTTTCAGCTGGGGCGGTTTGAACCCCGACTTGGACATGAGGAACAGCACCCTCATGGGGTGGAGCTCGAACATGGGCGGTTGCAGTTCAGCGAGCTCTGGGCGTAAATAGTTTTAGGCATATTGGGTTATATATATATACAAAAATTACAATAATATAAATCAAAGTATTATATAAAAAAAAATTACTATTAAAGCTAATTATCGTCATCATATCAACAATCCACTGCTGAACATAAGCCTCCCCCTTGGGGGGGTTTTGCAGCAACTTCAACCGCAGTTAGAATCTGGTGATATTTTAAGAGGGACGCTGCTGCCCATCCCTCTACCATAAGCTCTGTTAGTCGCCTCTTAAGACACTCATGGGAAAGGAAGGGGTGGCCTATTCTATGCCGGGACCACACGGCTAGAATAATTATAATTACATAATCTTAATCACATAAAAGCAAGATAAAGAGGCAACGTAAAGAAAGATAATAACAGCCTAAATGGTCACGTACAGCGCGGTTTCAGAGATGTTTTCTCCCACGAACACTCAGGTTATGGAATGAGCTCCCTGCCGAGGTTTCCCCAAGAGACTACAGCAGGGGGTTCTTCAAAATGGAAGTAAAGAGATTTCTTCTGGGTCGGCAACGCGCGCGTAATACCTCTAGTGTTGCAGTTGTCCATAGACTACGGTAACCACTTACCATCAGGTGGGCCGTATGCTTGTTCGCCATCTCAGTGGTATAAAAAAAAGTGAATAGATATATAAGACATACCTATAGCTGTGATGCCACAAGCCCATATGTCACATAGCTGATTGTAACCGCCCTTCCTCTCCACAGCTGCCACCTGAAAACAAATATATAAATACTTCAATATATAAAAATCTCGTGTCACGATGTCTGTTCATGCAAATCTCTGAAATTGCTCAGCAGATTTTAAGAGTTCCATCTTTCCTTTTGAGATATAGAACCCTTAAAATGGGTCTGACGGCAGGTGATGACAGGGATGAACATATTAGAAATGAGTATGAAGCCAGATCAGTTAGCCCATCGTAGCGAATTCACTGGGAATTAACCACTATGGTTACCAGGGTTCCTAGAGGAGGCTAATCCCCGTTACCAACACCACTCTTCCCCCGACGTTACTGTGTCAGCGCTCATCATCATCATCCTCATATCAGACGTAAATTGTACACTGCTGAACATAGGCTTCCCCCTTGAGGGGTTTTTACAGTAGTTGCTACGCTTGGCTAAGGGAATAGCAGTCACAGTTAGACTTTGGTGATGTTTTAAGAGGGATGCTGCTGCTTATCCCTTGATTATTAAGTTCCCTAAGTCGCTTCTTACGACACCCACGGAATAGGAAGGGGTATGCCATTCTATGCCAGTACCACACAGCAGGCTGTTAACCCTGCTCCTTCTAAAATAAAAAATTCTAGAATAAAAAAAGTAAATCACCTCCGGCGCCATCCAGTAGGGCGTGCCAATAAACGACTTCCTCTTATTGATGGTGGCCGTGATCTGCGCTGACACGCCGAAGTCGGCCAACTTCACGTCACCACATTCTGTTAGGAGGATGTTCGCGCCTTTTATGTCCCTGCAGAAGACAGATTCCAAGTTTAAAATTTTGTTCCGAGCAGGTTTTCATCATCATCATCATCATTTTAGCCTTTAACTGTCCACTACTGAACAAGTCTCCTCCTTGGGAGTTTTGTCAGTCGTTGACACGCTTGGCAGGCGGATTAGCAACCACAGTCAGGCTTTAGAGATGTTTTAAGAGGGACGCTGCTGCTTATCCCACGCCCTCCCTTAGTCGGCTCCTACGACACATACAGGATTTGAAGGGGTGGCATATCCTATGCCGGGACCACATGACCAAAGCAGAATAGGTTTTACTCTACAAGAATTGTTTTCAGTATCAACTCCTCTCGTATAGCAGATGTTCATGGGCGACGGTAGCCGCTTTCCATCAGGTGAACGGTCTGCTCGTTTGCTTCCCTAACAATGAAAAAAGTATAACAAACCTGTGCATTTTCCCCATACTGTGGAGGTATGACAGCCCAGTTAGTGTTTCTCGGCACATGTAAGCTATTTGGATCTCTGCCAGAGGACCCGTCACGTGGTATATGTCCTGAAAATTAAAAACATAGGTGTTAGAAGAATAGAACTCAACTTTTATGGATTATAAGAGTATGGGAAAAGCTATGAAATAGCAATGTGTGTGCTTAAATACTAATTTCAAAAATACCTCCCTACAACTAAGATTCGAAGCCATACCTCTCTACTACCCTGGCAGTGTTTCCACGATTAAATATAAATAATAAGTAAGAAATTCCGATCTAGAATGGACTACCTCACACAATCATACCACCCGCTTGATCTTCAAGCTAAGATGATACCTTGCGTTATTAGGAGTCAGGTATCGAATATTTGGAGGCACCCAGAACATCCAGATTCGAGGCAATCCAGAATAATAGATTTTCTTAAGAACTCCGACCGGGAACCAAACCCGGCACTTCATCTACGCAAAGCAATGAGCCTATCATTGCGCCCACTGCACCAATGGCGTCAAAAAACTAGTGTTCAATATTCCAGGAGCCTCACCTGCAGACTACCACCGCCACAGTACTCCATCGAGATCCATAACTTGTCCCTCCTGAGGTAGGAGCCGTAGTACGCCACTATGTTCGGGTGCCGGCAGTCTTTCATCATCAGGATCTCCTGCTGGATGATGGCGAAGTCATCACCCGGCTCCAGCTTTATCACCTTGATGGCAGCAAGCTCACCGTTGCCGTTGAGCCTCTTTGCCTGAAAAGAGAGAGTGGTACATTAAAAAAAAAGACTTAAGGAATAAATATATAATTTTACTAGCTTTCTGACCACTACTTCGTACTGTTATAAGACACAAAGGGATATGTTTTTAAAAAAAAGATAACTTATTTCTTATTCCCTATTTATAAACTTTTATTTAAATACACAATACAACGTGTACACAGAACGAAGGTTGGAGCTGAACTGCTTGGCATGACCTCACAGGAAAACCACCCGTGTTCTAGTAACCATCATTATTGTTTAGTTAGCATAAAGGGAGCATAGCAATGCCATCTGGACGAATGGCGGTCTTCCACCGTGCATTTTTCAAGGCATTTTCTTCTACGCACGTAATTGTTTGGAATCACCTTCCAGCAGCAGAATTTCCGAACCGATACGACATCATAAGCTTCAAGAAAAGAGCATATTCCTTTTTAAAAGACCGGCAGCACACCTGCAATACCGTCAGCGTTGTGGGTGATCATGGGCGGCGGTGGTCATTTACCATCCCGCCTTTGTAGATATTTGCCATGTGGTCCTGGCATAAATAGGTCACTCCTTTTCCGTGGGTGTCGTAAGAGGCGACTAAGGAGGGCGAGGGATGGGCAGCAGCGTCCCTCTTAAAATATCTCCAAAGCTTATCTGCGGTAGACAATCCGCCTGCCAAATGTGCAACTACTGGCAAATATCCTCCAAGGGGGAGGCTTATGTTCAGCAGTGGACAGTTAAAGGCTGATATGATGATGATGATGATGTAGTTGTTTAATATAATGTAATAAATATTTCAGCTGTGCTGTATATAATTTATTATATTTTTTTCTCTTTATTTAGGTCAACAAACAGTAAACACAATAACAATATATATATATATACACATCGAAATATCAATAATTTTAGTGTCACCAACGACGTTGGCCACCTATTACTATAAAACAAAATATGCAAAATGGTTGTGTGCAACTACTTGTACAAAATTAAACATATACACATACATGAGTGACAGAAATATAAAGAGGTGTGTACCAGTGGTCCACTCAAAATCAAAGAACTTCCAATTTGATGTTATATATTTTAAAAATTAAAATTTATTTACCAGCAATAAATAAGTGAATACAACATCAACAACAAAATATCATTCCTCCACCTCAAGCACACCACCGATAAGTCTCCCGAATGCACCAACACGTTCCAAAATAATATTTTGGACTTGTATAATATGAGGACTATAAAATCAAAGACAGCTAAATCCACGTCTGTCAAATGTTCAGGAAACTACAAAAAACTAATACTTTGTCAAAGATATGGAACGATATACGAAATTTATATTTTAAAGCAGATTACAATATTAGTAATAATTTAGATTTGAATTAATAGAACTTTAAATGAAGAGAAATATTTGAGTAAAATGAAAATGAAACCGATTTTATAGCGTTTAGCTGCGTGCGTGCGTGGGTGGGTGCATGCGTGCGTGCGTGCGTGCGTGCGTGTGTGTATTACGACACGAGTATTTATATAATTAAATTAATTTGAATCGATTTAATATTATATATATAATAATCAAAATATATATTACAATGTATGACATACTAATTATATTAAGATATAACGTAACAATTTCATTAATTTTTATATAAACTATGTATTTTGATATCTGATAAATACTACCTTTTTTAAAGATATGGCAGTGAATTTACAGGGTACAGAGGAATAACACCTGAGTCCTCAGGAATGGCAACGCATGGGGGTGTATCGTGGGCGAAACAGTATACTCTGTTATGTTTATAGTACTGCTCATGTGTATAGGCGACGGTTACCACTTTCCCTCAGGTGGGCATAAAAAAATCCTACAAAGATTTGCATGTTATTAAATATGGCGGAACACACTGAACATTAAAAAACAAATTATAACATCTTATTTTGTAACTACGTATTTGGCGGAGGGAAGGGATTGTTAATCATGCGGGCTACCAGTCCCATTGCTAGCAATATACCATATCCGGCGACCTCAATATAGTCCCGCTTGGAAACCATCGTGCTAAAACCCAGATGTATTCATCACGATGGGCTAACTGACCTGCCTTTTCATTCTCACCTATCATCCCTCACTGGTGCCTCGCCAGTAGTCATGTCATGTCAGTTGCCATTCCATTATCATACATTAAAAAAAAAAAACAACAAGCTTCCCTTACCAACAACTGCGTAATACACAGAGTTTTTTTTTTTTATTATTACAAATACGTGTTGTTTACTTGTACAGATGTTTGTATTCCCTGTAACATTGTGAGCATATGTTAATCACTCGCAAGTCAGAGTTACACGTGTGTGTATTACTGAGATGGGTGCGGGTGTGTGTGTGCTTGTATGTGTTTTACATAGCTGGCACACATGTGATTTGATTAATTATGAGGCCAACGCATCCTGTGTACTATTTTAATTAATCGTAGTAGGCACCAGTGAGATTTTTCTCTATAAAAGAACAGTTTTTTCTTAATGATAAATTTACGACTGGATATATCTTTTTAGCCCAACTTTAATTTCTATTACTTTAATTGCGTGAATTTACTGGGTACAGAGGAATAACACCTGAGTCCTCAGGAATGGCAACGCATGGGGGGTATCATGGGCGAAACAGTATACTCTGTTATGTCCATGGTACTGCTCATGTCTATAGGCGACGGTTACCACTTTCCATCAGGTGGGCCGTCAGCTTGTTTGCCATTCTAAGTTCTATAAAAAAAAAAAAAAAAAAAATATTTTCCTTGAAAAATGTATATAATTGTATCCATTTTACCAGAGGGAGACTTTGTACAAAAATCGTTCGCTTGGTCACCTCTGTCCCATTCGTGTTCATACCGTGAAACAGTTGTGTTTGCATAACTGTATTTCGGTTTGAAGTGTGGGATATTGCAGTGAATTTACAGGGTACAGAGGAATAACACCATAGTCCTTAGAAATGGCAACGCATGGGGGGTATCATGGGCGAAACAGTATACTCTGGTATGTCCATGGTACTGCTCATGTCTATAGGTGGCGATTACCACTTTCCATCAGGTGGACCGTCAGCTTGTTTGCCATTCTAAGTTGTATATAAAGAATGAGATAGAAGAGAGAAAAAGAATAAATTTATAGATTTTGTTTTTTACGTATCAGTGTTTTTTCGGCACAATTGAAGCCTTATTTTTTTTTTAACACAATCATAATTTTTATATCTCGACCGACACTATATTCGTTGCGTGATGCTTCCAAAACGATCAAACATAACGGTCCCGTTTGCGGCAAAGCGGGCCGGCAGAGGCAATACACTACATTAGTATACAATTCGCGTATGTATGTATGTACTGTTATACGAAACGTCAAAAGTTATTGAATTGATACGCTAGTCTTGACTTATGGAAACGAAACTTCTTCAAGCGACTTCAAAACGAAAGAGAATTCTATATTCGATTGTATTTTATTTTTTTATTTTGATCATCTCATACCACCGTCAATTCTAAACCGATTTGGAAAAATCTTTTTTTAAACTGTATACTATGTACTTATAGATTATATATATGTACTTATAATTTTTTTTTAATGGAAGATAATGGAATGGTAGCCCCATCCGCGCTATCGGTATACACCGGCGGGGCACCAGTGAAGGATGATAGGTGAGGATGAAGTCAGTTAGCCCATCGTTACGAATTCAACAAGAATTGTCCACGATGGTTTCCAGGGGGAACCACGTGGAGGTCGACCTAATAAGGCATATTGCTAGCAATGGGGCTGTCAAACTCCATTGCTAACAATCATCCCCCCCCCCCCGTCCCGTGTACTTATAGATTGGACACATAGGAATTTTATTAAAATCGCTTCAGTGGATTAGTATTTAAATAAAAAAATATTTTTTTTAGTTGTGGCAAAACCATTTATGGTCACTGTAAACTGTCAGATGTAAACCACACAATTACACTAACTTATACTTACAGATTACACTTCTTAAAAACAAAAAAAAATGTTAATTGTTAATGTTAAATGAATTTTGCACGCTTTTTTTTATACAACCCAGAATGACAAACAAGCTGACAGCCCACCTGATGGAAAGTGGTAACCGTCGCCTATAGACATGAACAGTACCATGGACATAACAGAGTATACTGTTTCGCCCATGATAACCCCCATGCGTTCCCATTCCTGAGGACTCAGGTGTTATTCCTCTGTACCCAGTAAATTCACGCCATATCCCACCCTTCAAACCGAAACACAGCCATGCAAACACAACTGCTTCACGGTAGAAACACGAATGGGACAGAGGTACCCAAGCAATCGACTTTTGTACAAAGTCTCCCTCTGGTGAGACTGCTGTGCTGACTGAGATGCTATCACCTTGTTAGCTAAGCAGAAATGTTCTTTGACTAATGTACGAGTAACATCTTGGACTTTACCGTGTTTAAGCAAATAAAGAATATTATTATTATATTATTATAGTTCTATAATTTAATTTTTTTTAAAGATAGCTTCGGTAGTTTAGTTTTTAAATCAAAATAATTATTTTACCACTGAAGCCGTTTTTTTTTTTGTAGAACAATCTTAATTATATTCATTAGTATACCCGCGCGGAACCAGGACGGGCGGCTAGTATTTTATAATAATAACTAGCTGACCCGACAAACGTTGTTTTACCGTATCCATTATTTCTAGAACTAGAGATGAAAATTTCTTGTACTACAATTATTATATTCTATTAGATTGCTTAGCGATAAGGCCGCCTTTTGTATCACTTCTCATTAATATTTACTGTATTTGTTATTTCTCTTTTTACTTGGTGCAATAAAGTGTAAATACATAAATATTCGATTGCCATCTTGCGACCCTATCGCGGAATATAAGAATCGCGATTAAAAAACAGGGGTTGATCGTTAAAGGGTTAAAATTTTAAGTTGTATGTATTTTTCAAAGCTTATGATAAAGCATACAATTTTTTTTTTCAAAAAAAAAATAAAAAAAATTTTAGGGGTGGG